TTATACCGTTGGAGTGTTGGTGGCATACATTTGATCCCTTACTTTAGTTTCGTTGCATGTGCTTGTTGATATAATTTTTATGTTATAAACGGTGTTCGTCTTATTTTAGCTTCTTTTTGTCCATATTAATTAGGCGTGTTTATAGCGATATACGTTCCGTGGAATCCCGCAAGTTTTCTTATTGGTGTAATCGATAACCGAATCGATAAGCCCCAAAAATTGATAAATCGAAATCAAAACCTTATTTAAACGATAACGATAAGCATATGTACAAATCGATAATCGATAAGTAATTATCGATAAGGGTCAAAATCGAATCGATAAATCGGATGCACCCCCCTAGATTTTAGGGCAGTTAGAAATCGGATTTTTTTCATTTTTGGCCCGTCGGCCGAAATTAATTACTGGTGCTAGCCAACAAATACAATCATATACACTGATTATGTGTGTGTGTGTATATATATATTCATACTTAATATACACAAAACATATACATTTGAAAGCTATTATTTTGGAGGGTGGCCTAATAAGGTAATTATCCCTAAAAAATATATTGTCATTTGAATTTCATTGTGTCATTGAGTACATGTCCGTAAAAGCTAATGAGTTGCTGATTCAATTATTCTGTAAACATCTTTATCAGAAGTGATATTTTTTGTTTATTTATAATTTATTTGACATATCCTCCTATTTGTCTATGTGGTTTGTTGTTCATCGAATGAGGTGATGATGAACAAATTGTGGTTCCTGTTAGGAAACTGTTGTGACAGTTGCTTCAGGAGGTTGGTGTTCAGGAGGTTGGTGGTTTCAGTTCTCTTTTGAGGCTTATATGTAGTATCTGGAACTTTTGGCTTTTATTATTTGTGCTTTTGGTCCATCGGTGGTGTTCTATTTCAATTTTTTCACTGCTGCTATAATTGTCATTCATACCAAGGATAGGGTTGCCTGTTGATCAATATTAGAGGTGTTCCTGCACAGTGCATTGCTGGTAATAAATTTTTTTTGCCCTATAATACCTGTTGTGCTCTCTTTCTATAGCTAAAGTAAATTCTTTTGAAGCTGCTGCTTTAAACTTGTAAGCCCATTTTTACTCTAGATACCATCAAACCATCTACCACATTGCCAGTGGGCATTTCCTCCGCATTTCATCTTATTATCTTTGAGCCTTTGCATCAGTAGAAAGTCATAGAAGTTCAAAAGAGGCACTGATGGACTAAAATGGGTTGATTGATGTTGTGTTCCATGATACAGGGAATTTTTTGATTGTTGCACTTTCAAAATGCATGAGCACGATGACAATTTGCTTTCTTCTGAGGGGGTAGTGGAAGGGAGGGGGGCGTGAAGTTTTTGCCCAAAATTTTTCTCCTTAGCTGTCAGTGTTTCATTATTTTATCACCCTCCTCTTCTTTTGTTCCTTTATGTGCTCTTGAAGGCAAAGGGGAAGAAGATATGAATGACCCCCTCCTGCTCCCTTGAAAAAGTTTCATTGGCGTTACCCTAAGCAGCATAATTGGTAACAACTAGTCCAAAATTTTTGAGTTGTTGAAAGTCTTGAATCTCACCAGATATGCCAGAGAATTGTTCTGCATTTAAAGAGGAAGAATCTTTGAGATCAACCCTACGCACATTTGATGCATATGTGGTCTTTTCCTTCTGCCATTTGATGGCATTTGAGTAAATTGCTTCAAGAGATAGTCTAGGGAGGAAATTGTAGTTAAGAGACTACGCAGCATAGTAGAGATACAGATTAACTGCAATTTAGTAAATTGCAATTGGCTGTTGAGTAGCTTGCTATAATGCTTGATTTGAAGGATGAAGGATTAGCTTCCATATTTTCTCTTTTTTTTTTTTTTTTTTTTAACTGCTGCTTGTTTGTTGTTAACAGGGAGCCACAATTGTTGATCAGTCTGTCATAGTAGCCCTGGAACCTGACTACGAGCTGCCTCCTACAGCTCCAGTGCCAATCAAGGTCTGTATAATTTATGTTGACATTCTGGTCTTATCTACTGTCTGGTAGTCACTAGCTAGTGTATACCTCCTATATATATGCAGGCAACTGAGAGGGCTAATGCAGCTGGTGGTGGATCTGCTATTCAAAAGGCAGAAGATGTTGTGAGCAGCATGTTGGCAAAGGGCTTCATCTTGGGCAAGGATGCAGTTAACAAAGCAAAGACATTTGATGAGAAACACCAGTTCATATCCACTGCATCAGCCAAAGTTGCTTCACTAGATCAAAAAATTGGACTTAGTGAGAAAATCAATATGGGAACAACTATTGTGAATGACAAAGTGAAAGAAATGGACCAGAAGTTCCAAGTTACTGAAAAGACAAAATCAGCTTTTGCAGCTGCTGAGCAGACAGTTAGCACTGCTGGATCAGCCATCATGAAGAACAGATATGTTTTGACAGGGGCATCTTGGGTTACTGGTGCTTTCAATAAGGTCACCAAGGCTGCAGGGGAAGTGGGCCAGAAGACGAAGGAAAAGATGGCAGAAGAAGAACAGGGAAGAAGTTCAGCTGCAGGTTACGTGCCTATACATGCTTTCTCGGAGTCCCCAAAAGCTTCCAAAACCGAGGAACCTGCCAAGCCCTCTTCACCTAAGGGCCTAATTCTCTAGCTTGTGCAAAAATATTTCAAAACTATTGTTCAATTCCGCTTGTCTGATCTTTTAGCTGTCATTGTGTTGTGGTTAGACTTAGATATGCTAGTTATACATAAAATGTCCTGTACGATTGTTGATACATGGAACGATAGTTGCTGGACTATTAAATTCCTGTCGAAGTCTGTTCTTTGTCAAACGTAAGATTCTCATTTGCTTTTGGTTGGTAATTTGGATTTCCAAAAGTAGGAAGCTACCCGAGGTTGTACTTCAACAATTTTACGCAGGTATGAGCTTTGACCTGATTAGTTTGGTTGTACGTCCCTGTTGTGCAAACAGCTGGAGATCCTGTGGCGGATGAAGAAAATTTGTTGCAGAAAGAAGAAAGGGATCAGAGGTGCCCTACGATCATCATTGTTTGCATCAATACCTTTTTGGAAAATATTTTGAGTACAAGTTTTGAAAACATGTTTGGGGACTGTGGTTTGAAAAAATGTTTTTGAACTTAAAGAAATATGTTTGGATTTACAGAGGAGCAATGGGGGTTTTGGCTAGGCTTTGAGGATGTGAAATGTTTTCCAAAGACTAATATTTTCTGCTTGCTGGATAAGTTTTCCGAGCCTTACATACAAGGACTGCAGAAAACAGGAAAATTTCTGTTGCAGAATCTATTCAAGTTAGTCGGAGATCTCTGTTTCTTCCTTCTAAATGCATCTCATTTCTGTAATGATGTGTTTTTGCAACAAAAACTTACCTAACATAGAAGAAACAGAACTAAAACAAAGATATCTGCAAAATTGGAAAAGCCAAGTTGAACTATGAACGCATTTTGAAACACTCCCATCTATTTCCACCAGATAGATTCTTTGATTGATATCGGTGGTAATCTATAGACCATCCAAAAACAGCAAGGGATATCCATTTTCCAATGCCATTTCAATTGTCAAAAAGATGCTTTATTTGCTGCTATGTACGAAAGACTTAAACAGGCACTAGAACTATAGGCGCCTAAAATTAATCAAAAGATTGTCATCAGAATGAAAACTATCAAAATAGTACAAACCAGAAAGAAAATGCGTTTCATGTCCATGAATTGTCAAACGCAGCGGAAGTCATAGCCTGAGCAAACTCCTCAAAGCTAATACAACCATCACCATCTCTATCAGCTTCCTTAATCATCCCTGTTAGCTCCTCTTGTGTAAGCGCATGTCCTAATTTTGCCATCGAATGTGCCAACTCCGCCGCGGTTATCAAACCATTGCCGTCCCTATCAAACATCTGAAAAATCTTCTTCAGTTGTTCCTCCGAGTACGGACATTTCGCTGGTATGAGCTCCGGCGCTACCAAAGCTACAAATTCCGAGAACTCGATCAAACCATTGCTGTTCCTGTCCGCCTTTTGGATTAAATCCTCCAATTGATCATTACTCGGCTTTAATCCTAAGGATCGGAGTAATGATCCGAGTTCAAGTTGCGTTAAGCTTCCGTCGTTATTCCGATCAAATGACCGGAAAATCTCACGAAGCTCCGCAATTTGCTCATCGTCTAGCTTCTGCGGCGCATCTCCGCTCATGATCTCTAATCTAAAAGTAGAATTTCTCTCCTATTCAACAATAAGAATCGCTTTTTGATTATGGAGCCTTTCAAATCGTGACACCAAAATGAATACACAAAGTAAATAATCGTAATATTCAAATTGCTTTGAGAATTGGTAAAGAGCATAAACCTCTGCTAAAATTATTCAGAAACTTTGGGGGAACTACGAGGAAAAATCGGATCTGGGAATTGATCAAATCAGCGTGCATATGAGGACGAAGAGCGTAACAGAAGGAAAACCTAAACCGTAGTTTAACGCGTGTATATTTTATTTCCTTTTCAAATTTTATTTTATTTTTAATGGAAATCAATCAGTTTGGGTTTCATCCAGGCCGTCACTCTCTAGTCTCTGCTTTTGATCATAATTGGGAGTTTCAGATAAGGAAAGAGAAACCGTCAACTCATCCCCGGCTTCTGTTTTCAAATTTAAAAAGGCCGTTGCGCATATCACTCCTCACCCGCCGGCCGCCACCGATACTTTTTCTCCTTTTTCTTTTTATAACATGAAATTTTCCTTTCAACATAGAACTTTTGCTCTTCTTTTAATTTACGGTAAAGCAGGTCTCTTTCCTTAATTCTATCTGCTAACTAAGGATCATTACTCCGATGGTAAGCAACCTCCGCTTCCAACCAAGAGGTTGTGAGTTCGAGTCTCCCCAAGAGCAAGGTGGGAAGTTCTTGAAGGGAAGGATGCCGGGGGTCTATTTGGAAACAGCCTCTCTACCCCAGGGTAAGGGTAAGGTCTGCGTACACACTACCCTCCCCAGACCCCACTAAGTGGGATTATACTGGGTTGTTGTTGTTGTTGTATCTGCTAACTACACCCCTGTGTTTGTCTCTATTAACTTTTGGTATTAGTTTATTTTTAGAGTTGTTGGTGTTCGAGATGATCATACTTTGTTGACTAAGTAGCTCGAAGAGGTAGAATATTCGTCTCCTAAACAAGAGATTTTTTTTGGTCAAGTGCTTCTATGTGGTTTCTATTCTGAGAGTATTGCCTAACAACTTGTTTGGATGGTTGTTACAAATTGTATTGTATCGTATTCGTTAATTCTTCGTTATGCAACGATGAAAAGTGCCACGTTATGTAATGATAGATTTGGTGTAGTAACGTCGTTACCTTACTTTTTCAGAAGGTAGCCCACAACTATCCTCTGAACTCTAATAACGAAGTCACCATGTTCAACTGGCTGTCACAAAAGTCCTTTAACAACCTTATCATTGTTTGAGCAAATAATAGCTAAACCAATTTATAATGAATTAAAGGGGTGAATCTTAGTTGAACTTAATAAATTCTAGACCAGATAAAATAGAATACTTATGAAACGAGTAGTGTTCAGGTGCATTAAATAACAGATTCGATACAATATGATTGACAATAAATATGGTGGTGTAAATATGCAATAAATGTAAGCAATGACAATAAATGTGATGAAAAGGGATCTGTCACCCAACTATCATATGATTGGGAAGTCCCTTTTCTCTGTCTGCGACGTGGAAAAGTATGAAGTTCGGATGGGTATGGAATCTCTAGATTTATGCATCAAGATGGAACAACGTGTGCTTCAATAATATTACCAACAAATAAGACAACTTTTGGATATTCTCTTTTGTCAACTCTTACAATGTATTTTCTTTCTCAAAGTTCCGAAGAAGATCCTCTTTTGTTCCACATCTCTTCCTATTTATAAGGGATATTCCCCAAAAACCCTAAAAGGTACAGCATAAAGAATATCCCAAAGGAATATTCTTTATGCCCACTTATGAACCTATGCTCCCGTTACTTTCTCATCTCGGTTGCTCGCTTTTGACATCAGCCTTCGTGAGAATCAACCTTCAGTCGTTATATCATGGTCGACCCCGTCCCTTGTCTTGCGTGTCCGTTACCGTGGTCACCAAATTTGGTCCTACAATTAGTCCCTCCGCTTGTTGAGGTCGTGACCCTGCACGTCCTCGATAAGTGGACATTATTTTGCTTTCATCTCGGGAGAATTTGGCTATTGAATCAAGCCGGGTCGACCAAGATCGAGAGAACGACACAACCTGCGAAGCCATGATTGATATGGTTACCATAGGATGACATCACAGCTACGCGCGTCATTATTACACATCTTCCCGAGATAGCGTCTGCGTGCATGTCGCTTTGGTTTTAGTGTCATTGACAATCCTTCACTTCAATTCTCGCGCCATCCAACCTTAAAATAGATGAGGGTTTCGTTTTTTCCGAAGTTTCCACCATTCCCCTCCTTACAGGAACAATATTTTCCTTCGATCTTCTTTGCCGGTTCCTGTTATTAGCTTTGTTTTTACGATTCAGTTTCTTTCCTTCTTACTTAGTCATCACCTATTTCTTTAGGTTCAGTAGCACACTCGTTGAGATGTCACAAATCCTTCACATTCATGACGAAGTTTCCGATGCCAATCCATTATCGGTGGCTCCTCCTTCCGGTGGTGAGGATCTCATGGCTGAAGAGGGTGAGAGTTTTCCTATCGTAGAGGAGATAATTCACAAAAAACCATTATCCAGAAGCGATTTCCACAAGGAACCTGCACCTGCTCCCGTTCCGGTGATCTCTGAGATCGGGTTGTCTCACATAGCTGAACTCCGATCTACATAACATATCTCTTCTCATGTCGAGATGGTTCCGGCTGGTGGCGACATCGTAGAGGTCCATCAACTTGGGTACTATGCCTTTTATGTTTACACTTTCTTAATTGGTTATACTCTCCTTCTTCTTACGTTGGCAGAGGAATTCTGCCAATTTTATAACATCTGCCCGGAGCAGCTGTCTCCATATTTGTATAAAGCTTTCCTGATGCTAACAAAGTATGCAGAGTTGGCTGGTTGCGAGGTCAATGTCCACCACCTATTACACTTGTTTTCACCTAGTTTTTACAGAGGCACTATGATACACCTGCGGCATTGCGGGACCAGAAGGCTGATAGTTGGAATGGATGATAGGACAAATTGGAAGTTTTGGCACAAGTACTTCTTTATCAAAACCGAGCCTTGGTGTCGGACCCTGCTGGATTTCCCGAGTAGTGGAATCATAATCGTAGGTGTTGATGGCATACACTTGTTATCTTCTTTCGTCCCTTTTGATTTTCATTCATTTGTGGTTTCTTTGTGTTATTTTTTAGCTGAGAGGCGTGCACCCTTTCCCGTCATCGGCATTGAAGACTGGGTGGCTCGCGTGTTACCTCGCATGGCTGGTATTCGAGATTGAGCGGTCTTCTACAAACGTTTTGGACCGAAGGTCCCATCTAGTAAGTGTTACTTTTGTTTCGGCTTTTTGTTGTTTGCCATTATTTATTGATATGACCTCTTTGAGGTGACAGGTCGACGGGATTCCAAAAATAAAGCTCCAGTGCCGGCATTGGCCAGGCCATTGCATCGGCAGGGATACAATTTACTTTGGCTGAGTCCGCTCGCGGAGGTCGTACTCAAACTTTGTCAATTAGGGACCCCCCTCCTCGGAATATTTTTGTACATGATAAGATCTCTTCCCTGCCTATCTACCACATTGTATATGAGTCCTCTAAAGTAGAGGAGTCGCCATCGAGAAACAGGAAGAGGATGGAACTCGGAAAGACCATCACCGCTAGCGTCGAAAAGAAA